GGCCAACTTCAATGGGCGAGAGGGAGAACCGTCCTGGGAGGACGTTCGGAAAACCAAAAACATGCAAAGTAATGCTCGGTAACGTTACACTTTGCTTTGGTGAAGCTGCTTTCAAACTGTTTCCTAAACTACCATCAGCTCAAGCATTTTTACAAGCACGAAATACAGCGCAGTGTTGCTGGACGTCACTGTCTCCATAGGCCACCATCTCACGTTAAGTGATCAGCCGATCATCTAAAAATGACATTTCACTGTTGTCATATAATTATTAGCTCCATCAAGAACGTAGGTCAGATCGTTTTATTGCTTGATTTTACTTGAAAGTGTGATTAGTAGCCAGAGGCTTTTTAATTGCTACTTGCTGAGGATGACGGCAGAAAATGGAGCCCCGAATAAGTTACCGCTCGAAAAAGTTTTCTATTGCTTTAATACATGTACAGGTGCCCGTGTGTTAAACCGATGCCTGCTGTTTACTGCTGAGCACAGGTAGACCAGGCTGCATAAATTGTGCAATTTTGCCCCCCCTGTTGAATCTTAGATCACTTTCATAAATAAGAAATTGAACCCTTATTAAGATAGTGGTCACTACAGTGGACAGTTATCTAAAAGCCATTTTCTTGTGCTTCTTGTGGATTTTTTTGTTATAAATGCACACAGACCACTGAAGTGGACACTAATGCATCATAAAATACACCATCAACTACTGGCCATCAGCTGCAAATGCAAGAAATTATTTCTGTTAAATCCAATATGGCCGACAGACAAAAAAGCATGCCGACCGACATCAGATAACCCCTAAAGAACAATACTACTCATGTATTTTTCAAATTACTTTGTATTTGGAGAAAATTACAGTTGATCACCTAAAAAAAATTAATAAAATATTTTACAACATTTTTTTCCTGTCTTTTTTTATACCTTAAGAAAATAAAAAAAATTGGGAAAAAATCCTGGCACAAAGGATCATAATTCTTGCATGAAAGGGTTAAAATGCATGTGATGTTCTTGTTATAAGTGTGTAATCGTTTAAACTTGCACTTATTGAATGTAACTTAAATGTATTAAAACCAAAATCCCTCTCATGTCCTCAGTCAGAATAAAAAGCTCAATAACTTACATAATTAAATGTCTTACTTAAAAATTAGTCTAATTTGCAAAAAATAATTCAAGGGTGTAACTTTCTTTTTTGTTTGCTGAAACATTTTAATAAGAGCAGATATAATATATTATATCTAATAAATTTACCCAAACATAATTCATCAAATTTTCCTCACGTTTGCTGGTCAAATTTAAACAGCTTTTTTTGTTCTTCAGTGTCCTGCATTCTGAATGTGTGTGAAGGTAAATCTTGATTTCTTTTTAGGCTGATTTATCCTCGTTTCTGAATGAACGGGCGCATTTCGGCGGCATCTCCTGCATTCCTGGACGCATTTCTTTTTCTGTCAGAGTGCCCTGGCACTTCTTTTCCCGCTTTGGCTGAGCAAATTTTCAACACTTCTTAAGGTAATTTAAATCCTTTTGCGTGGAAAAATGTGTCTGTGCCAGATGTGAAGTCAACAATCCTCTTGGCACCTGTGTGACGGCAGTTTAATTGAAATGTCAGCTGATACACTCCGAATCCACAGATTTTAAATTTTTTTTTTCTTCTTGTCCCCAACGTCCTCATCTTGTCTCTGCTCTTCTCTGCTCCCGCCGCGCTGCCCTGAGTTACAACTTCATCTTTCCTGCGTAGCCGAGGACGGGAGGTGAAGCAATGCATCAGGTGAGGCACTCAATGCCGCACTCATTTGACCCCTCACCCCAACAATGGAGGCTGACCCTGAGCTGCTCCTCTAATTAATCATCTAACCTTCTCTTCACGCCACCAGCTGCCCTCTCCTCGCTTCCCACCCTGCGTTCTCAGCTGACCTGAGATGGCCTCCTCTCTACCCCCCCCAAAAAAAGAGAAGAACTCTTCTGCTTCCTGTGCCCACGGGGGTTGAAGACAGTCACCCAAGATTCCGCATGACTGCAAGTATAAATCTGACGGAAGTAATTACCCATCATCCTCCAGGGGCCCGGAGCGCGCTTCCCGCCTCCTCTTCAACTTCGACGTAGTTCAACCTTTTTCCACTCAGATGGGAGGAGAGTTGTGGTGCGTGAGGGGGCAAAGTCGTACTTGGAGTTAATTGCCTCGGGCAGGTGAGGACATCAGTTCCAGAGTGTGCCCAGACGGATGGCTCTCTGGAGGAAGGTTCAGTCAACTAATTGTGAAGTTCTGATAGGACTGTGGGGAGGTGCTGACCTAAAGCTGGGGTTCAGGGACACAAGGCGGCCCGAGGACCAAATTAAAGTAACATTTGTTTTATAAGCTCGCTTCCAAAATTTCCCATCTCCCGTTTCACCCTCTCAGATATATCTGCAACTCTAGACGTCCCTGTGTTTGTGTGTGCAGACTTTTATTTGGAATTCAGAGATCAGGAATACCGCTTTCAGCTATGCATGGACGTACGGAGCAAGGCCGCGCTCAAGCATTTGTCCTTGCTGCTGCCTCGAGCTGTGGCCTTAATTGCCACGGGAGTGGAAGGAGGTGTAAATAAAGTTGTTAACTGAGGTTAAAATTCCTCTGCAAAAAAAACAAACAAAAAAAACAACTAAAAAATCATGAAAATGATTCACATTCATGGATAGAAAGCAAATGCAAAACAGGTTGTTTTAAAGGGCCCAATCAAAACAATAAACTTTCAGAGACTTAGATGTTCAGTTATATGTCAAAAAATTTGAATATTGCATAAAACTGCAATATTTCTCGCTAGTCCTCTCGGAAAGTGAAACAGATATTTTACAAAAATTTGTTACACATTTTCTTTTTAATTCATTTTTCTTATTTATTTATTTATTTTGCAGTTTTTACTGATTTTGGCTTACAAGCGAAGAACACCCAAAATGTAATGTCTCCGAAAATTAGAATAGCACATCAAAACAATAGGAAAAAAAAAAGATGTCAAGAACATATTTTTGACATTCAGTACTTGATTGAGCCTACTCTTGCATGCATGGTCATCTAAGCAGCTTTTGGTACATTTGGCAGAGTGGGCAGGTGCCACGTTCTGCTGGAAAATAAAATCTGCATCTCCATACAGTTTGGTAACGGGGGGGATGAAGAGGTCTAGAATTTCCTGGTAGATGGCTGCATCCTTGCCTTGCCGTTGCCTTCCTATGTATTTCCGCTAACCTTGCTTTACAGCTCAGTCTGTGCTTTCTTCCATTCACTTGGATTTTTCCAGTAGAATTTCAACTTGGTCAATCAGAAGAACTTGTGAACGACCACATTGGTTTTCTGCACTACTTTAGAATTGTAGTCTGCCAAAGACGTTCAATCCATGTTGGTGCACGCTTCCAAATTCTTGGATTAACATTAACAGCAATTTCTGGTAAGCTGCTCTAAATCAAATAATGAGCAGCAATTTTGGTAAGACTTGAAGCTACCACTGCATTATAGTTCTATACAAAGAGCTCAATCTTGCTATTCCAGTTTTTGCAGCATTTAATAATGCTCATCATGCAATAGTCAAAGACAAATAGGACTTTTAACAGTCCTGAGATTTTAAACCTCTGCTACAATTTTTAGCTGCTGAACAGGCACCCATAGCTTTCTAACAATGTTGCTTTTTGATCGTCGGCTTCTCCATTTCTGTGACTGGGACAGAGCTGGATTCCTGCTCCAACCCAGCAAAGTTGATTGGCGATCGATCACTCATGATGTGAGATTCTCCCACTTTAAACAGGAGAGGGGTGAAAATGCATTATGATTTAACATCAACATTACAAACATCACCTAATCACCTAATCAATCAAAAAGCTCAGTTTTTTGTAATTTATTTTTATTTTTTTGCAATTTCCCCTTATTGAATCAATTTGTTGTGTGTCAAGAATGAAAAAGGATACAGTGAGTTCTGAAGTCGATGCCGTAACGAAAAAGATTGTTTTTGTCAACTGAATATAACATTGGTTTATTAGCTTATCTTCAGATTGATATCTATTACAACACAAATGTACATCTTATAAAGGGCGGGGAGATCAATGTCCAACATTGCTGTCAAATTAATCTAAAGCCAAACTACTGATTACTGTTTATTACTTGGTAAAAAAAAAAAAGTGAGCATGAGAGAAGTTAAGCTAATTTAGTCTGATTATGACACAACTGAGTTCAGTACAATGTAAAGCACAGTATAACTTGGCATGAAAATCAATTAAACATTTGTTTCCCATCATGTTTCATTACTTCCAGCAACATTACTCGCAGCACTCCTACACATTCCCACGTCAATGCTCCGCTTCATAAAATGAGAAAACCTATACAGCGTTTTGAGCTCGAAGCTGGCCATTGCAGTCGAAGGCATTAGGCTACGCATGGCTTGGTGTTCAAGTGGCTGCTTCTTTAGAATAACAATAAACTCTTAATGGTGTTTGGATGCACATTTTTAAAAATTGGATTTCTTGGGGGTGGCTAAAGTGGATTTCTTGCGGTGAAGTGGACTGCAAAGTGGAACACTTGCTGATGTACTGTATTATATTTTGCTTTCCGGCAAAAAATAAATAAAAAAAAAATTTGTTTGTGCAAACAGTTTTTAATGTCAGACAAAGAAACTTTAGCTAATACAGAAATGCAGTTTTCATATGATAGGTTTTCAAGGGAAAAACGCCACCCAAACCAAACCAGGTCTGCGTGAATAAATATTAACCTCGTATTCCAGATGTGTGGTTGTGTTATAATTGGAGGCATCACTGGTCATCAAGGGTTTGTGGTGACTAATAATGTGTTTTTACATCACTGCGGAGGAATTTTGACCCTCTATGTCTTGCTGTATGTGTCTCTGATTTTGTCCAAACTGAAGGTTTTCCAAACACAAATGATCTGTTTAAGGTCATACAGCAGCACCTTGCTGCATTTAGGTCCGTACATAAATTTTCTACTCCAAAACCGTATTTTTTTCTTTAACAATTCAGTGGTGAACTTTTTGGTCTGCTTTAAATCATTGTCCTCCTGAATAACCCAAGTGAAGCTTGAGGCCAGTGACTGTTCCTATGACAATAGTGTTTTTTTTTTGTTGTTTTTTTTTAATAAAAGCTGTTTATTGGTCATCTAGAACATTTTATTGCGACAAAATGGCAAAAATAAAACGTGTAACGGAGCAAATACTTTTTTATGACACTGTTTCTCAGTTGTGTTGCTGAAAGTGATTTTTTTTTAATACATATCTAGTATTAAAAAAAAAAAAGGCAAACAGCACGGGCCAACACTTTTGTTTAACACAGGCATGGCAGATCAAGCATCACTTTGATGGAAAAGGGACTGCAGAGCTTTGTTGCTGGAAGCTATGCTCGCTCTCTGACAGATTGTCTGTCATAAACTGTGATAGTCTGATTACTCCAAACCTCCTTCTAGATTACACATTCGATCCACTTCGAATCCCTCTATTCGTCATGTGTGAAGTGTTGGGCTGTCGGCTGGTGATGCACTTGATAAACGCCACCCTCGGACTGCGGCAGCTCGCCGCGTCAACCTCCCCGAGACTTTGATTGTTTCAGCTGGATTAAAACGGTAATGAGAAGCTACAGCTCAGCTCGAGACACGAGTGAGAGTTTGAGGGATGATTTCAGGTGTCGAAGCTATCAGGCAGTACGAGAGCTCTGCAGGATTGGTTTTGTTTCCCTTCTTCTTCCCCCCATAGCTCATTCACCCCACGCATTCGCCGAGCTGCAGTAGATGGAGGCAATGAGCATCATTTTGGTTAGCTATTGAAAGGCTTTTGTTCCCTTGTTTTGGTGCAAATGAATTCAGTTTGTATTTGAGTGCAGAGCTTTTAGCTCAAGCTGAACGATGAATGTGTCAAATGAAGTGTGTTACACAAGCTCCTTGGCCTAGGGAGAGCTGCACTGCTTTTCACTGAGCAATCCCTTGTGTGGGTGTGTTTTGTGCTTTTCAGACTGAAAATGGCCTGTGTGTAGCCGTTGTTGTACGTGCAGACGGCGGCAAGCATTAGTGGGCCAGGAGTGGGGATCCAAACTGCTTTTACGGAGGTGAGAGCATTGAAAGTTGGGTAGCCACAACAACCACAATGACAACTATAAATCATGTTAATGGTGCCTCTCACTGTGGCTTCATCTTGATCAAAGTGAGGGGATCAGAACATGACAGCTTATGCCAAGAGCGCTGCCTGAAATGTCAGCCGAGAGAGAAGAATGGCAGGAAGTTCCACAAACAAGTTGATAGTTTCTGTCAGAGCTTTAAGAGCTTTCCATTAACACGCGTCACTGCTGGGGAGTCAACAGGTGAATGGTACGACGGCGGCAATGGGCTCAGTTTCAAGATCTGACGCTAATTTCAGTCACTGCCAAATAAGGGTGTAGCTGTAATGTTTTCCCGCGTTTAAATCAGTTTTAATCACAGAAGAATTCAAGTAAAATCTGTTTTAAGTTGTAATATGTGGGCGTGACGATGGCACACGTACGGAGGCCTCAGTTCTCAAGGGTTCGAGCCCCGAGCCATTGACCTTTTCTCTCTCTCTCACAGCCTGCTTTCCTTTTGGATCATTGTCAAATAAAGGCCACTAGAGCTGAAAAACTGAAAAATTCTAATATGTGTTTGACCTTCACCCTCATGGAAATGCTGAAGAGGTCGTGGGAGTTTGGTTGTCCAATTTTGAGACGTGTTTTATGAATCTGAAAACTTCCAAGTCATCCTGTGGGAGGTGCTGCGGTAGAACAGGGTGTCTGAGATGCTTGTAGGGGTTCAACAAGCAAATCAAGAGTTGCATCTGCGTTCTTGGCAAAATCTTGGTCCCAGTGTGGGTTGGACTTGTCTCTGATCCTGTCTGTGGTTTCAAAGCAGAATCATGGAGAGCAGTTTGTCTGGTTTTGGTATTTCTCGTCTTTAGTTTTTAATAAAAAATGTGCTTCTATTGGAATTTTCAGATCATGACCTTCAGCGTGTTTGGACCAGTATTGCTGGGTAAACTGATGTCTGATTTTTTTCTCTTGTGTGATGAATGGATGGATCTGTCTATCTGATCATCTGGCAAAGGAGCAGAAGGAAACACGGGTGCCTTGAACTTCTTTTGAGACTTTAAACATCATTGGCCGACAACGTCAACAAGCCCACCCGTATTGTCCAATACATGAGCACCTCTTTCATCGAAGGGTCAAACATCGGCAAGGTGCTACGGCGCCTCCTTTCCGTCTCCCAAACCAGAGAAGTAGTAGCTGGTCACCTGAGCTGGTGTTGGACAATCCATCCACAGAGGTTGTGTATGGAGGAACGTCAAAGTTCTGAACACGTCATCTGTGCGTTTCAAATGGAAAATGTTTTTTTCACACTGTATCACGGAAAAATAATCTCAAGTCTTTCACAAATAAAATACTATAGTACAGGACTTAAAAATCACTTGGATCAAAACTATCAAAACATGCAGTTTTTACAATGATTTAATTTTGAAAAAAAAAAAAAAAAAAATGCTTCATCTTGTCCTAAAAGTATTGATTGTACATTTTGAATTTGTCACCTTAGGGAAAGGAACACTCTGACACTTTGTGGTCTCACTCCAATTCTTCAGAGAAACAGATGCTATGTTTCAAAAACATAATATACTGGAGGTCACACTGTGCATGACCTGAAAAAGGAAAAAGGTAACATCTGTGGAGCCTCTCCATGAAGCACATCCATTCCTCAGTTATCTCTTTGATGTATTCCAAAGGAAATGATCCACTAAAGTTAAAGTTGCTTGCAAAGCCTCGTTTCGTCTGTTTTGATGCTGTTTAGGCCACCTGCGGCCTAAACAACAACTTGAAGGATTTATGGGTATTAGGGCTGTTTGAGGAAAGATACCGAAAACGGCAACTGCGTGAAAAATGATAGAGACCGCACCAGCAGTCATTCCACAGAGTCATTTAGTATTGTATTAAAAATGGTTAGATCATGTTATGATAGAACACAGCCAGATGAAGATTATAAATCTTTTTTTTTTTTTTTTGCTAACATGTAAGCTTAAAGCACAAATCTCTCCCCTTCACTTACTGCTCCCTTTTAGGCTTGTGGCAGTGGGTATGACCTTTAAGTTATGATGAAATGGGCTAAAATTAAATCATCAAAGTCAAACCAAAGATAAATTTGCTCATCCCTGAGCTTATGTCTCCAGACAGAAAGAAAAGCTTCAAAAATATGCATATTTGAACACCATTTATCTTCTGTGCATGTGGCATTTCTTCTGAAACTGCCGGAAGGCCTGGAAATCATTCACAGGCAGCATCATGTAAAGACGCTTTTTATCCGTCTTAGTTTTGTGATAAAATCTGTCAGAAATCTTAAAGAGTTCAGTCAGTTTTTTCTTTTTTATCCTTCAGCGTCTTTCATTAAGGTGGGGCATGACTGTCTTTTACCTCTACTGACGGTAAGCATCTTTTTGTTTGCTGGATAACAGCATAAGTTTGACAAAATCTATCGGACTGTATTTAAATCTGTTCTAGTCATGCCGTTTTCTCAGAGATATCGTCAAAATGATCGGATGCTGTTGGTTAGATATTCAGATTAACGTGGAAACTATGTTCAGTGGAGACGGTGCGAATTATTCACAATGAGCATGACAGTTTAAGTTTGTAAATTAGCATTTTGACTTGTTAATGCCAAATGATGTGAAAAACTAACTGTAGAAGAGACCTTTTATATATATGAAAGTGAGTCTTGCACAACTGCTGCATTGTTTGCTAATGCAATGCTGGTCAGAACTAGAGATTCAAATGAAGTCGTCTATCCAAATGTTGCTAGAAAGTTTGGCGTGTTGGCACAAAGTTTATGTCGTCAGAAGTCATTCTCCTCTGTGGTCACTTGTAAGTAGACTGGTCTCAACAGGCCAAAAGAGTACCGCTTAGTTTTGTCTTCACTGGGAAAAATCAACAAATTACAACTTAAATTGTGATCTCACATCTGAGCTGGAGACTTTGCTGCCATCGCTTCTATTTTTTCAGTGATCGTTTCGTTGTGCACTGATGCCCGGGCTTGACGTTCCATGCGTATCGTCGTCACTCATCACAAAATTTTCTGCTACATTCTGAGCTCTCCCGTTCTCACTTTGTTGCATGTTTTTATTTCGAGTCTCTCTAGTTTCAGTCCTAGAAACTACCACAACTATAATTAACAAGCCTGAACACACCTCAAACTGATGATAGGGTTAAAAAAAAAAGATTCATTTTAATCACAAGTTGCTATACGATA